ATTAATTATAATACACTTTAGGCGGTATTAGCTCTTTACGCGGTTTATAAACGTAAAGAAGTCGGCCTCGATAGCTAACTCTAGGGTAACGAGGATAATCGATATAGTATCTATAGGCTTACGACTAGCCTATTTAGAATAGCTAAGGTTAAGGCTAGTATAGCGTCGTATTAGGTCTTAACGTAGGGCCACTAAGGGAACTACGACTATAGTAGTGCCTTTATTATTAATCTAGGCCGGTAATATAAATAGTAGACTCTTTCCGCCTCCGGTAGGTATAATAGCCGCTACGAGAGTTAGCCGCTATTAAATAGCGAGTAGGCTAGCGCGCTAAACGCCCTAGAACTACGCCTCCGGGGTTTATAGGAAGTCTCGTAGGCTTTAATCGAGGTCGGCCTCCCTAAGATACCGTCGGCGGAGTTCTATATTCCTTTACGCCTTAGCCTCCTAGGGGGTAGGATTAGTATAGTCCGCGGTAGAGGCGCTAGTCTAGAAGCTAAGGAAGTGATATTAGTCTATACTCGCTTTACGGAAAAGGCGTATTCGATAGGCTATAGTGCCTAGCTAATTAGTAATACCGTAACTATAGACTATTCCGGTAATATAGGAGGAGTACGCGGCTTAGAAGTTAAGGATATACCTATCTTACTAATTAGGATCTAGATTACCTTTATTATCTAGGTCGTCCTCCTTATATATATACTAGAAGGTATACTTTAGCTAGAGGTATTATCGGCTAATAGCGATAGCGATATCCTAATAGCTAAGAAGGTTAAGGGTCTACCCGTTAAGGTCCTTACTAGTAGCTAGCTAAAGTTAGTAGCGAAGTCTCTCGCTAGTCTAGGCGCGACCGTTAGGGTCTAGCGACTAGAGATAGGCCCTATAGGTGCTATAAGGGGTTAGTATAAGGGGTTATAAGGGGATTAGGAGATAAACCTAGGAGTCTCTTTCTTTTCCTACTAATCCTTCTACGTCTAGAGCGCTTCGGTAAAAAGGAGTATAAGCTAAAGATATTAAACGACTAATTACCCGACCTTAGTTAGGAGATATCGGTAGATAATCTTAGTATTATTAGACGTATAGAAGGCCTTATAGTACTTAGTGACTAAAGTAACTATTCTATCCTCTATAAAGAGATCGCGGTAACTCTTAGCGGTAGTATTCTAATACCGAATACTTAGGAGCTCGGTACTATAAGCGGGCTAACCGCTATATATATAGATTAGGACTATAAGCTTCTCGCGGAACCGGACTAGAGTCCTAAGGTACTAGTTAATCTTATCTACGACGAGTTTACCGTTAGTAGGATAGGTAAATTACTTCGTAATCCGAGGAGTAGTACTTACTTAGTTATAGAGCTAGCGCTTACCTTATACTAGCTAAGGCGTACGCGTATCGTATAAAAAGTTCTAGCTAACCTTACTATAACTAAGGTCGTCGAAGAGAGTCGCTTAAGGGATAACCGGGATCTCGTAATACGTAGGGGAAGAGTTAAATATAAGCCCTATTACTAAGAGGTCGGTTATATTACTTACTATCTTATATATAAATCCGCGAAACTCGTATATTAAGAAGGTTATCTACTTATAGGCTAGTCGGTCTCTAAGTATCTAGGAAATATATCTAGGCGCCGTACTACTATAATATACCTTAAGGCCGTACGTCCGGAGATTAAGTAACTAGGGAATAGGCCCGTTAGAGCCTTAGACTATAAACCGGTATATTATCTTATCTACCTACTCGGTAAAAGACCTCTAGGGTCTACCCTAGTTAGCGGTAGAGGGATTATCGGGCTTAGAGTCTAATAGGCTAGGCCCGTCTTAGTCGCCGCCTATATTAGGATTCCGGATAAGCTCCTAGATACCGGCTACGTATAGGTCCTACCGTATAGCTTAGTAGATAACTATAAAGCGGGCGACCTTAATAATCTTAGATAGAATAGAGGGATAGCTCTCCGTATTACGCTATTCCCTATCCTCGCGAATACCTTATACTACTAAGGTACTAAGAAGGGCGTATTTATACTCGTAGACCCTACTAGCCTAATTAAGTAACTTAAAGTAAAAGGTAAGGTAGGCCGTATCTAAAGCGTCTAGGGTATAGGACTAGTCTTTACCGTCGTCGATAGGTATAAGCCTAGGCTTACCGCGAGTCGTCTACCGTTATACCTCGGTCTATAACTAGGCCTAGGCGTCGCGCTAGCCCGCGGTAAAGTGATACCGGGGGCCTACGCGGCCGACCTAGGTATAGACGAAGAATATAAGAACTTACTACTACGTATAGGAGTGCCGCGTGATTTACTTATAGTCTATATAGGCCTAGAGCGGCTTATAGGGGAGCTAGGCCCACTCCGTACGGCTAGTAGTTACGCGCACAGTATAGCCGGCCTACGTAGTGGCTTACTAGCTAGCGCGCGCTACTCTCTCTATAGACGCCTAGATCGCCGCTACCGCGCGTTCCGCGGCCTAAGGATGATCCGGCTCCGGTTTCTCGACTAATTTAAAAAGCTCCTTCGGGTCGTGGCCTTCTAGATAGTCGGCCTACTAGGTGCGGCGAAGCTATATGTTAGTCTCGTCGTGCTCTACCGTGGTGATCTACTAGGGGTAGATAGATATCCCGATTAGACTAGTAAGCTCGGAGAGCTATGATTCCGGCGCGCTAGGCTCTACCGGGGGTTAGTCCTCGAGGCTAGATATGATACGCGAGTACTAAGGGGAATCTAATATAGAGATAATCTATAAGTTCGACTAGGTAGCCTTAGTATCGTATAATAACCTAGATATACTTAGATATAGGCCTTTTACTACTAACTACTTTAACTTCGGGATCTTTACTCCGGAGTAATAATATAGATCTTCCGCTATCGGAATAGCGATATCGAAAAGCTACAATACTAGATAATATAGAGAGGCGGTAGGACGACTACTACGTAGTCTCCTACCTAGCGACTAAAGCGGCTAGTATAGTAGTAGCCGCCTATTAGCCGGACCTAAGAGAGAGGCTATAGGAAGAGGACGTAGAGAAATAGAAAGGTATAGTAGGTTAGGCCTATAGAGTTAGATCGAGGCGATTAAATAGCTTAGATATACTTAGGCGGGTATAGAAAGGGTAGTAAGGCTTAGACGGTAGACTAGAATTAAAGAAAAATAAAGGTAGCGCTAACGGGAGTAGAGGCGAATATAACCTATATTTAAGAAACTTTTAATATATATAGTCGATAGAGGAATTAACTAGAAATATAAGGATACTACTAAGTTTAATCTAGAGTAAGATATATTAGGTTTATACTCTATATAGGCACTATATAGATATAATCTAGAAGGCGCGGCTTAGGCTAATATTTAGGATAGAACTAATAATATAAATAAGGATTATAATAATCGATAGCTAGTATAGTAAGAGAAGGAAGAAGCGTAACTACTTTCTAGGAGGTTTTATACCTAGAGAGTTAGTAGGGGATTATAGTAGTTATATAGTATAGAATTAGGTATACTTTACTAGCTTTACTAATATCTTATATATTAGGAGTATTCTAGTCTAGTGCCGTAGTATAGTTATCGGCTACCTAGCTATAAACTCTAGTCTCTAACTTTAAGCTCTACTAGACTTTACTTAACTCTTATATATACCTAGTTAGTCTTAGGTATATATAATACGTACGTAATACTCTATATATATTAGGGATTTTATAAGACCTCTATAGTACTACGGGGTTATAGTAGTTTAGTAGGCACTCTATTATATATCTAATTATATATTTTCTCTCTAGATTAGAATATATAGGACGATAATAATAAAAACGCTAATATAAAAGTGATTAATAGCCGTAAACTTAGCCTAGTAATACGATTTATAAACTAATATTATAGCCCTAATTATAAGATAATCCCTATTTCTATTACTAACTATACTAATAAATACCTCTACTAATTACTATATATATTTAGGCTTTTATATAAGCTCTATAGCCCTATAGAATTATCTATAATAGTTCGGTAGACACTCTATTATATAGCTAATTATATATTTCTTTCTAGAGTAGAATATAGAGGACGATAATAATAAAGACGCTAATATAAAAGTGATTAATAGCCGTAAACCCCGCTTAGTAATACGATTTATAATCTATTCTTACGACCCTAATCGCGAGATTATCCCCGTTTCTACTACTAACTATACTAATAAATACCTCTACCGATTACTATATATATTTAGGCTTTTATATAAGCTCTATAGCCCTACGGAATCATCTATAATAGTTCGGTAGGCACTCTATTATATAGCTAATTATATATTTCTCTCTAGAGGGGAATATAGAGGACGATAATAATAAAGACGCTAATATAAAAGTGATTAATAGCCGTAAACCCGGCTTAGTAATACGATTTATAATCTATTCTTACGACCCTAATCGTAAGATTATCCCTATTTCCACTACTAACTATACTAATAAATACCTATACTATCTCGCTTTCTTCGCCTACCGTGACCTCTCTCCTAGTACCGAATTAACTTACGATTATAACTAAGATGAGGAGAATACTACGGCCTAGAAGATCGAGCCTAATATAATCGTGCTAGGCGCCTAACACCACTCCCGTGGGTTAGTGCGCCCTACCACTTTAAAAATTCTTACTACTTTATAAAAAATCAACATTTTTCTTATTAAACCTCATTTATCTTAATAACCCTATGCTATCTATATAGTAGCTCCTATTATTAGGAAATCTAGATACTAATCTAGCTTTATGCTTAGCTTCCTCCCTATCCCGCACTAATTGAGCCTGCTGCTTAGCCTCTACTATCTTAGCATTCCGCGCCTCCTTACGTAGCTGCTTCTTTAAATTATTATCCTGCCTTTTTATAATACGCTAGTTTACATTTATAGGCGAAAGTGCTAAATTAGTAGCTCTAAGGATCCGTTTCTAGCTTTAGGGGCCTTTCGACCGCGCTTTCGCTACGCGAGCCTTTTTTAGATTTGCCTTATATAAAGTAAGTCTTTACGCGAAAAGCGTATTTCCGTTAATAAGACGTTTAATATACCTTTGTATAGACTTTAGTAGCTCGTTATACTCCCTAAGCTTATCGATAATCTTAGTATTAAGCTTATTAGCCCGTTATAAGGTATCTAGGGGGAATTAGTTACTAAACTTAAGGGTTCGGGGGGGGGAGGGTAAATTAAAAATACGTAGCACCTCTCCCTTATTATCTACTATTTTTTAACGAAGTAGACTAAGGATAGCCTTAGGATTAAAAGGCTAGATTCCTCGAGTTTTAAAAGCGCTCCGGATAGTACGTAATATAAAAGCTTGCTTTCGAATATTATATATTATCCGGAAAAAGTCCTTTTTTCGAGATACACTTCTACCCTATATAACTGCCTTATTATTTACCGTACGGAAATAGTGTTTAAGATATTAAAACACCTAACTATCGAGAGGTTAGCAAAAATAGGTAGTATATAGTAAAAACTATATTAGGATAATAAAATACTACTCGCAAAACTATATAAAATCGTACGTAGTATACGAATAGTGGTTATCTATTAATAAAAGCCTCGGTCGGCCCTTTTAAATATAGTCTTTTAATACTTCGTAAAATGAGTATAACTATTAAAACGTGGTATAGTCGTCGATCTAGCTATTAGGGGTTAGTTTGATTCGAAAATCCGGTATAGTGATATTTATATACCACTCTTCGAGATACTCGGAGCCCTTTAGTAAAAACCACGGAAGTATAACCTATCCGTCGGTAGTAATACACTTAATTCTAGTAATAGACTTATGCTGACCGCCGGTAGGGTTAGGATAGTCTTTTATAGGTATAATGACCTTTTATCGCTTACCTTCGCTAATTCTATAGCTAGTTTTATCCTAATTGAAGATCTTATTTAGTTAGAAATTATATTTTTCTATAAGCTTACGTAGCCTATAGAACTAAAGGAATAAATAGCCGAAATCCTCGCTATTAACCCTTACTTTTTTAGCTGGTTTAGGGTTAATATATACGAGATTAGGGGGTAAACGTTTAATAAAACGATAGACCTAGTTTTTGCTAACTTAATAATCCGAACTAGCACCTTTTAGAATAGAATTTGCACTCTACTCTATAAGGTAAGGGGTAGGGTAAATAGACGTATTATGTAGAGAATTAATCTATTAAATTAATGCCTTTTCCTAAATTACGTCTAATACCCTACTTTAGCTACTATATACGGAGGCAGACTTATTACCGCGGATACGCCCGTATAGCCGCTGGTATAGAACGTTAAAATCACGCGCTAGCTAGGAGATATTGGAGATATCACCCTAGGAATAGGTCTCAATTGCCTTTATGATCCGATCCTCGGTAAAATCAGGGGTATTTGATATAGTGGTAGGGAGATAAATAAGGTTTAATGAGAAAAATGTTGATTTTTTATAAAGTGGTAAGAATTTTTGAAGTGGTAGGGCGCACTAACCCACGGGAGTGGTGTTAGGCGCCTAGCACAATTAGTGCCTACTCTAGGTAATAAAGCTAAATACCGTAGATGTAAATCCTACGTAGTTAGGCGTACGATAAGACCTAAGGGAAATATCCCTACTCGGGCCTTCTATACGTTAGTATTACTTCCCTATAGTAGGCCCTTTATCCGAGTGCACTCCTACTACTTCTAGTTAAAAGTACCTAGGACGAGGAAAGGGCTATTATAGTAGGTAATTCGGTTTACTATATTAATTTAGATACTTTCGTTTTATTTTTATAGGGTTATCTACTCTTAATAACTTAGCTAATCCGGTTTAGAGTAACAATCTAGAAGAGAGAGATTCTACTAGATAGCGGTAAGGAGATTAATTCGGCCGGAAAGAGGGACTATAACTAGTCGCGAAGTAGGTCTACTATTTAAAAGGTTTATAGCTATTACTCCCCTTATAAGAAGTTATAATCGGAAGAACTTTCCTTCTTCCTTTTCTCCCTTAGACTAGGTATTAATTAGAATATACTATTACTCCTAAGAAGACTTAGCTAGGGATATAATACGAGTACTAGGCTCTAATCTTACGACCCTATATAGGGGTATAGATTATCCTTAGTATTAATTCTAGCTCTATTTTATCCCTATATTACGGCCCTTATAGGTTCTAGCTTAGATAGGTTCGGGATTTTCTTTATAATATATAGTAGAATATCTATAAATTCTACTCTCGGAATCTATTAATTATCTTATATTTTTCTAACTAATACGACTATATAAAAGATACTTACTATTCTTTATACTATCTATTTATATCTAGATTATAATAAGAAAAGCTTATATCTACTACTATATTAAACTATATACCTACTATTTAAATAATAGGACTAATTTAATATCTATTTCTTAACTCCTATTACTTCTATTAAAGTCAAAATCTCTATTATATAGCTATAGAACGAATACTTAGTATAATATATATTTTCTAATCTTATATATAGAGTACTAGTACTCCTCCCTCTATAATAAAAAGTAAGGAACTTTTATTTTATTCTCTTTACTATCTTAATATTATCTTATTATTCCTTTATTTCCTATTATATCCTTTTTATAAATATTTAATATATAATTATCTTATCTCTATTAATTTACCTTAGGTATACTTACTATAAAATCCTATAATAGAATTAATAAGTTCTATATCCTTAGGTTTATAAATATATATACGTAAGAGACTATAGATAAGTCCTATAAGAGACCGTTTTAATTCACTCGCTAAAGGATAGATAGAACTTATAAATAAGGAGTAGGGACTTAAAATAATACTTACTCGTTACTAAGCTAAGACGGTAGAACTCGACCTATTTATTAAGTTATAGATACCGTAAAGAGATAAAGTAATCGCTCGTTAGGATCTAGCTTTTCGAGATTATAGGGTAGCCCTTTAGGAACGAGGATATCTAACTTACTATCTTCTTCTCTATAGGTAGTAGGTCGGAATTTATATATAGGGGTTTATATTTTTATTAGAGCGGCGGTTAATTGTCTAGAAGATTAACGAATTATAGAGGTTATAGAGATTAATCTTTATTATACGTCTTTATATAGAAGTTACTATATTCTTAGAGATAGAACTACCCTCTAGAGCTTTCTTTTAGGGGATAAAGGAGATAAATAATCTCTACTAACTAGAGGATTTATATAAAGAAGATCTTATTTTTATCTACCTAACGGATTAGGTACTACTAGAAGTCCTAATATAAATATATTTTCTTTTAATTCTATTTCTCCGCTATACTTATATCTTAGTCTAAATATACTATATTTTCTATAAAGACTTAGCTAATAATACTTAGGAGGATATAACTAGATTAGAAATTATACGCTCTAGCGGGTAGATTTATAGATTCTACTATAACTATAAGCGTAAATATAGGCTATAGGCTTACCTAATACCGATTCTAGGATTTAGTTATATTACTTCTACTATAAGTATAATTTAAGTAATAAGTAGTTAATTAATAGCTAGTTTATTTAATTATTTATTATAAGATAGTTATAGAGTAGTACCGATACTATTAGCTTATACTAGGAATCTATATAGGGAAAAAGATATAGATAGGAATATATAAAAGATATTATATAATAGTAAGATAGTAATAAGGGAATAAGACTAAATAGATCTAGCGATTAGATAGGAGTCCGAAGTTTAATATCTCTATCTCTAAAGTAGCGGCTTCTATAGAGGGTTCGCTCTATAGACTTCGTAGGCCTATATTATAGGGAAGGTAATAGAACGGTTTTCCCTATAGCTACTTCGCCTAAGCTAAATAGATAAAATATATATAGTACCCTCTATAGCGGAGGCCTTTATTAGAATAAAAGTAGAGTAGTATATTATATATAGTAGAGAAGTTTAAATAACGCTTATATATCTCTATAATAGCTAAGTCTAGTCCTAATCTCCTCCTACGTAGGACGTAAAAGACTAGACTATATATTAGTAAAAACGGATCGAGAGGGCTAGGGCTAGAAAAGTCCGTAATAAGCACTAAATAGAGTATATAAGGTTAGTCTAGATACTTAGTATAGATAATAAAATTATATATAAGGAATCGGTTCCGCTCTAAGGGGTACTAGCTTAACTAGATTCGATCTAGTAAGAGAAGAATATATAGGGGGCGGAGAAACCGAATAAGACTATAGAGAAAGTAGCATTAGGTCGCCTTAAGGTTAGCCGGGTCTAATATATAGGAGGCGTAGGAGTTAATCTAGTCGTCCCCGGCCTATATAGCGACCGTATTCCTAACGCTTAGGGGTTAAGGTAGACCCCTAGTATCGTCTACTAGCGGTTTAAGCTCGGAAGAGTCTAGTATAGGGCGACTAAAGAACTAAGAGAATCCTTTATATATAAGAAATCCCTATATAAAGTTAAAGATCTTAATCTAATTCTATAGGTTACCTTTATAATTCTAAAGGTAGCTAAAGTAGATTATATTAACTAGGTTTATTATTTTAATATAATCTTTATAATCTTAATATATAACTAACTAAGATACAATAAAGGCCTCTATAGCTAACTAGAGTAGGCTAAATACCTAGTAAAATTAGACGTATTAATAAGCGTTATATAGACTTATATAATATTACTCTATAGAGGCTTTATTAAGAGGATAAGTACGTAGTAAAAGGGTGATAGTAACGCTACTAATAGAAAGATTTCGGGTCTTAATAGGATCGAGGACGGAAGGACTACTTCTATAGGTATTATTAATCGAGGGCGACTAGTATAGTATAAATAGGCGCTTTATATACGTCTAATTGTTACGACCCTCTACTAGGAGAGTGCCTTATAGGCTAGATCCCGCCTAGTCCTATGACCTAGAACCCGTGACCTAGTAGGGGTAGTATAACCCCCCGCTAGAGACCGCACTAGGGAGACTAAGTCCTGCTAGGTTAGGTGACCTAGTCCTATGACCCGCTAAAGGTTATCTATATAGAGACTGCTAGGGGAACTTAGCTCTTTAGCGATTAGTTTACGAATATACTAGTACCTTACTATTCCTTTACTCTAGTTCTATATTACCTACTAGGACCTATTAGTACGCCGGTCCTAATATTCTAATCGCTAAATCTTAATTGAACTAGACCGTTAGAATACGTAATATCGACGACTCGACGTACGAGCGACCGCCTAAGGGGAACCTTAGCCCCGATCGCGGAAACGAACGACGTCCCGGGACCCCTATAACCCCTACTAGAAGAGGTAGAGATATAGGGAGTCGACGATAACCCTTAGGGAGGAAACCCGCCGGATCCGATAACCCCGACCGAGATAGACGAGGAGGCGGAACTCCGAGAGTTAGAGACCCTTAAAAGACGTCTAGCTCTAGTAAAGGAGAGAAAAATAGGATCCGCGCGGAACTATAGGACGAAGAAGAAAACGTAATAATCCTATAGGTGAGAATATAAGGATCTAGAATCTATCGGGGTTTACTAGGTAGCACTACTAGCTAAACTACCTACTAACTACCTAATACTACCCGTACGAACTCGATTATATCGTAAGGAAGTGCCGGAGGCTACCTATCCTATTAGAAGGAAGTAAGGGAACTACGTATACCCTATAATATAATAATATATAGAGCTAAGAGTTCGGGCGAATATAATCTCTTTAAGTCGAACTAGGAAGCCTTCTAAAATAGATACCCTAACTAGTTCGCTAATAACGTACGTAAGATAGACCGAGTAACTAAGTTCCTAGCGCCGAAGGTTAATATAACGTAGATAGAATACCGTAGGAATAACCTAGGTATAATATTTACCTAGTTAGTCTTCGAAATATAGACGCTCGCTTAGGTCACTAATCCCGTTAAGATATAGCGAGAAGCTAAATATAACTAGTAGTAGATAACGTAAGCTAAGCACTAGGATATATACTAATACGCCCTAAAGCTTACTAGACTCTATAACCGCCTAAAAGATACGCCGACTAGATAGATAAGGATCGACCGTTTAGAGATAGGTATCGTTAAGGAGATACGAGACGAAGTAAGGAGGTTTATAGCCCCCGCTATAGATTAATAGGACGACTAGGTAGCTTTCTATAACTAAATTAAGAAAGTAATACTAAATAGGATATTATACCTTAGGGAGGCTAGGAAGATAACGCCGAGAAATACTATAGACTTATAAGGATCTAGTAAAAGACCCTTTAAAGGAAATAGCGCCTTCCCCATATAGTAAGCTATAGCTACTACGGAGGGTAGAAAAGCTACCGTAGGGTCTAAACGAGATTAGAGCGGAGATAGTAAATTCTATAACTTCTAT